ACCCTAAGACATGTCCTTTCACATCCTAAGGACAGGGTTGTGGCGGACAAGAAGGCTGGTATAGTGTATTCGATTCCTTGTGGAGAATGCGATATCAAGTACATTGGTGAAACGGGCCGTTCTTTAAAGACAAGGAGAAGTGAGCACATCTTGGCTGTAAAACACCTCAATGCGAAGAAGTCTGCGCTTGCTGAGCATCCCAAAAACACTGGCCACTCGATCGACTTGGCCGCTACTTCAGTAGTAGCAACAGAAACAAAGTCACAAGAAAGGAAGTGGCTGGAGGCTTGTCAAATTGCCAAGGGAAAGAACATATTGYTTAATAGGGACAAAGGTCGAACACTGCCTGGAAACTATTTGTGCTTGCTCAATAATTAATTATTATTCTCATCTTTCTTGAATTCATTTGTTACAGCGCGCGCATTGTCTTTATTGCGCGCGCAAAAGTAGTTTCATTTCAGTTTGAATGCGTTTTTGTTTTTGTAACGTCTTTATATTCCCTGAAGATGACCGCTTAGGTCGAAAGCTTGGAAAGACGTTTAAAATTATTCATGGTTGATTAAACAAACTGCGACGTATAAATCTTATTTATTGCCGGGTTCAGTGCTCACTTTTGTTTATTTCGATGATGTTATCCATACCACCATCTGCTTCATCTTGTTTCACTTCTGGAGAAAGAACAGTATTGATATTATTGATCTATTAACCTTTTAATTCAGACAATCATGGAGTTAAAGAAAAAGAGGTTTTTTTGGATTTGAGCAAATTTTCGGGTTCCTTTCAATATTACACAAAATATTGAGCGATAAAGTGGTATTCACTTTAGTCCTTGGGCAATCAAGATGCTTTACATTCGCACATTGACTTATTTCATTTAGGTGCCCAAGTGACTGTGGACTGTGTAATGATTTACAAGGGGAAAAAATCAAAGGCTAAAATTCGTTTCATTTTAGTGCTTATGACGAAAAAGTGATAGAAAAATTATAAGATAATGGCTATAGCCAAATTATCAGTTTATCAAAAAAATAATGAGAGTACGATTACCCAAAGTACCTTTACTTTTAATACCTTACTAATTACTTTAGCTACAGCTCATCTCATTGCAAAAACCTCTACCATTCACGACTAAGGCTTTATATAATTCACCGGAATGTTGAGCTGCTAAGGCTCATGGGCAATTTACTTTAATAAACAAAGGTTTTTACCCATTTCTTTGCTTTGCTTTTACAACGTTTTACGTCAGTATTTTGAAAGTTTGACCAAGCTATGAAACTACTAATAACCAAATAAGCCTTTTAGATATTTCATATTTTGATAAAATTATGATGTTATGAGGTAAGCAAAAAAAAAAAAGCGAAATTATAGTTACTCACTTCTCTTGGTTTGGTTCATATTTTCCATAGGATAACCGGGTTCATCTTTCTCGGCTCCTAAAGATAAAAAGAAATATTTCTTGTTATCGGCTCTGCGTGCATTTAAGAATATAGCAGGACTGATTGTAAGGTTACAGCAAGACTAAATATTAATGATCACGAAATCTGTTAAAATGGTATTCGATTTATCCTTGGTCAAGATGCTTTACATTACGAGGGGGAGTTAAATTAATAATTATTTTGAATGAAAAAGGCTCGAGCTATGATCAGTCGCAGAGAAATGAAATTCGCAATCCCCACCATAATCGAGAGAGGTAGAAAGAGAAAAATATCTAGGCTGAGGCAGAATCAAAAACATCGTTCTCTCGGAATTGAGCAAAATGAGAAAAGCTTTCGATAAACTTAATATCACTGTGATTACTACTTGAGACACAGGAGAGCAATTTCCCAAGATCCATCCCAAACACCACACTGTAAATCGCATAAGAGTTGATTCGGTCCCCCAAAAGGGGCCAAATCGGTGAGTAAAATACGGTACCCTTTTATAGGGCTCATTCAGGCCTTTAAATTATGGGTCATTTTAGCTCTCTAAAAGGATCGATTTATCTCTGAAAATGGGTTAAAACGACTCCTTTGTGATACTGATTTGGAAACTTGGGTTACAGAAATAGTTTTGGGAAAGGCTATTTTGGTTTTGTGTGACATTGACTGTTTTAGATATAGCAACTAGGGTCAAAATGGTATGTGTAGCCGTGATTGTAGTTCACTGAAAGAAGCCAATACCACCCTAACATTTGGGCTATTTCAGCATTCAAAAATAGAGTCAAAATGCCATGGGTAGCCAATTTGGTCCCCTAGTATATAGCTAATATMATAACGACTGCTTTTGCTTTTAGTAACAGTGCCAAAAATAACCCTGAAATGTGTACACAATTTGGTTCCCTAAAATGATCTGATATGACTTTTTAAAAGAACCTATTCTAGCTTTATTGATGTAGATCCAACTCAATTTCATGAAAATACATGGCTGGAGTTTGATATTAACAATACAATTGAAGACACATCATCTTGGTCGAATCAAGACTTTTGCTTCTAGCTGTTGCCTAATAACTTAAAAACTTACTTTTGATAAATTGTTGCACACGGGACAAAATAAATATTAGAAAAAATAATGAGAGTACGATTATCCAAATTACCTTTACTTTTAATACCTTACTAATTACTTTAGTTACAGCTTATCTCATTGCAAAAACTTCTAACATTCACGACTAAARCTTAATTCACGGAATGTTGAGCTATTAAGGCGCATATGGGCAATTTACTTTAATAAACAAAGGTTTTTACCCATATCTTTGCTTTGCTTTGACAACGTTTTACGTCAGTATTTTGAAAGTTTGACCCAGCTATGAAACTATACTAATAACCAAATAAGCCTTTTAGATATTTATTTTTTTGATAAAATTATGATGTTATATGAGGTAAGGAAAGAAAAAAAAGCGAAATTGATATAGTTATACTCACTTCTCTTGGTTTGGTTCATATTTTCCAGGAAATAAGCGGGTACATCTTTCTCGGCTCCTAAACATAAAAAGAATTTTTTCTTTTTATCCGCTCTGCGTGCATTTAAGAATATAGCAGGACTGATTGTAAGGTTACAGCAAGACTAAATTTTAATTAATGATCACGAAATCTGTTAAAATGGTATTCGATTTATCCTTGGTCAAGATGCTTTACATTACGAGTGGGAGTTAAATTAATAATTATTTTGAATGAAAAAGGCTCGAGCTATGATCAGTCGCAGAGAAATGAAATTCGCAATCCCCACCATAATCAAGAGAGGTAGAGAGAGAAAAATATCTAGGCTGAGGCAGAATCAAAAACATCGTTCTCTCGGAATTGAGCA